GCAATGCGAGACTATTGCTACGCTAAACATGTCGTTGACTTAACGCCAATCGGCGACGAATATTTAAAATATCGACGTTCGTATCCGACCCTGGACACGTCCATACGGAAAGTGCACATTTAAATTTATAATGCGGCATCACAGGTGTATATTCCGTCGGACGATATACATCGGCCAATATCAGCACCATTAGAAAATTGCAATCAGAAACGATCGGCAGATCACATCTCTAATATATGCATTTGTCAGAATGAACATTATCGAGTACTCGAGTACGGTTGATTGACAGCACCAATTTATTTTCCTTTATTTTTCCTGAAAATCGCAAAATCATTTTCTCCAACTAGAAATTGATTTATAATCTATGTTATATATTGTATATATATAGTTATATGTATATTTTGTATATATAATAGATTCTCAAGAATAAATTAAATATTATGAAGTAATGTCTATGCGATCGAACTGAACACGAATATTAGTTTCGACCTTTACATATATATATATGATGATTATCCTCAATATTACAAAATATTAATAATTTCTCGATTTTAATATGAATTAAATTATACTCGTTCGCATTTGTTCGATTCTACTTTAAATCTGCCGGTAACGTAAAATTCCTTCAATTTAAATTCACTTTAAATAACAATTAACTGTGATAAATTTACAAGCACGCATAAAACACTTACATACACACACGAATGAAAAATTTCTGCTAAATAGGGAAAGATAGGGGACGAAGAAATTCTCTCCATATAAATAAATCTGTTAATTCATAGTAAATTAAATTATATCTCAATTATAGTGCTTCTCGATAAATAGGTTTCTAGTAGGATGAAATTCTCGATTGAAATTTTCTTCTCTTCAATCATAATGAATTTTCTCTATAATCTGCACCGCTTATAATAAAACCTTCGCAGAAAATTGTTCAAATTGAGATGACGCTAACCAAGGCGACCGGCTTGTAAATTTTGCTTTCGATTGGCTACTGGAAGAATCTCATGTCCCTCAGACGCATACCATTGTCTAATAATTTCTACAAACTGATACACACGAGAGAGTTTTACGCTCGAAAGAAAAAGTCGGATCCAAAAAAGAACGTTTTGCGATTACGCACTAATAATTTATTAAACTCATTTAGAAGCTACTCTTAGATAGGACCATTCTAAGCTGTCTATTCTCTCGGTACTCGACAGTTTGCAGGATATCTCTATTTCTACACTTTCTTCAAAGCGCACAGCATCATAAAAGCAATCCTTCTTCTCTCCTTATACATTTAAATAATTAAGGAGCTCTATAGAATATTCTACTAAAGCATTGGAATATTCTATAGACCTCTTTAGAATCAAGAAAATATTTTCTGCGTATCATTTAAGAACATATTTCAAAGTTCCTGGAAAATGTTCATAGAATATCACTATATTATCTGGACAATGTTATTACAGATTATCAAAACCAGTAATTCAAAATTATATAATACATTGGATAAAACAATCATTTTTATAGATATAAAACATATTTTTAATAGCAATTCATAAATGTTAAAAGTTAAATTTTAATGAAATTATTTAGACGCTCACAGAAATCAATTATAACATGTGTTAAATGAGCAAAGAACCGAGTTAGATATTTGTGTTATATATAAGACAGTTTTAACATAATCAATAAAATTGAATCACATACAAACGTTCCAACCTTACATCGATCGGATTATCCTCAATATAACAATAAAAAACTTACATAATAAAATAGTCAAGACATAAAATTGCAAGTATTGCTTTCGGATAATTGAATTTACGTTAAACATACAAATACCAAGTCCGTGTTAAGGCGTAAGAACATCAGATGCAGAGTTCGTATAAAAGTAATTGTCCAAGTGAAACATGCTCGTCAAAAAGAGAACTCGTTTATTAATAAAAAAGAAACTTATTAAAAATGTACAGACGATATAATGACGATGTACTCAAAATAATACAATTCCGAAAGTGAACAAAGTCATGGTAATAGTCAGAAATGTTCAATTTTATTGAAGCAAATATTATCATATAACTACAAGTGTTATATGTTATATTATATTATTATGTGTTATATGTTATAATAATATTATTAATAACTTTTAAAAAGTTTTTTGAAGTATACTGCTGACTGCTTAGGAAAAATATGTCACAGAAAAATTTTTGGCAAAAATTTGCTAACTTTGGCTGACGACAATTCCGCAAAAAATCAGGATGATGAGAAAATCATAGTATGATAAATTTTTTTTTAAATTAAAGCTAGAAATCTCTATTTTAAGGTGCTATAAGTCGATTTTAAATTTAATGCAACCCTGTTATTGTAAACTCTTAAATCTGAGAACATATTTGTTATACAGAAAATTGCAAAGTTGGACGAAATACATGGACTTACTAAAATTTCTCTCAAGGCTGCCGTTTGTAGCGTCATAAAGCTCGAATCTTTCTCTTTAATTTGAAAAAAAAATGCAAGTCGTTATAATTTTTTTTTACAAAGTTACAGCATTTTATAGTAATCTTTGTATTTTTCTCATGTACGATTAAAATTACCCGATGTGCACCATAAAGAGATTGGCAATCGGATTTTGCACATCATGTGTGTATGTGTGTATATTATACACACGCGCATACGCACACAATGTGTAAAATTTGATCGCTAACCTCCCTACAATGTACATCGGGTAATGCCGATTGTACATGAAAAAAATACAAGAGTTACTTTAAAATGCTACAGCCTTGTGAAAAAAATCATAACGATTTGATTTTTTTCAAATTAAAGAGAAAAGTTCAAGCTTTATAAGGCTGCAAATGACATCTCGAAGAAAAATTTTAGCAAGTCCGTACATTCCAAACTTTACAATTTTTAGTATGGCAAACGTGACAGATTTAAGAGTTTATATTAGCTGAGGTGCATTAAATTTAAAATCGACCTATAAATTTAAAGTAAAAATTTCAAGCCATAATTTAAAGAAAAGTTCATCATCCTACGATAGTTTTTCGCAAAATTATTGTCAGCCAAAGTTGGCCAATTTTTGCCCAAAATTATTCTATGCAATAATTTTGTTTAGCAGTGTAATAGAACAACAATTATAAGAAAATTGACATAAATTTTACAATTAATGTATAATAGAATAGTTGGCTACAATCTAGTTCCGTAAAGGTTGAAATATTTGAAATATTGTGTATAAGAATTATGAAATACCTAAAAATCCTATGCATATAAATTATGAAAGAATATAACTATGTAATATTTAATTTAATCATTAAATTGTAAGTTTTTAAAGACAACCAATCCCTGTAGCATTTATGGCGGTTTTTTATTTATTTATTATGGCCAATAGCCTTAATAAGTAATTGGTTTATTATAAAATCCTTGAAATCGTAAATTTTTCTCATCGTTTCTCTTTCGCATTTTATTCTTTGCGCCAACATTATGGCTCACTTTTTTAATAGAAAATTCTTTGTTCTTAGATCGAGTTTTAAATGAATAATACTTTTTCTCGATTAACAAAATAAATAATGCCAGGATCATACTGCCCACCACTATCGTCAAAGTCGGCGTTATATCGAATATATCAACTGTCACTCCAAATATGTAAATATTCTTTGACTTTCTTGTGAGATACTTGTTCCGCAACTTGTCCATAACGCCATTAAGATGAAATCGTCGCAAACTGAAAAATGCAAAAATATTGAAAGCATCTATTTTTTAAAAGGAAGAAGCAATTGTAAGCGGTTTAATCTGTATTTTTTGTAAGTACGTGAATATAGCAAATAAATATATACATAATACTTATAGGACTTACTGATAATTTATAAAGCCAGTGTAAGGATTTCCTTTTGACAGTGTTAGCCCCAAATTATCGACTCTCCCGGTGTCAATATATACGACCTTACACCGTACATACATGTTCATAGCTTCTTTAAACACCTCCGTCGTGTAAAATGCCAATTTCTCTCGGTGGCAGATCTGCGTGAGAATTAATGTGATTTGACTTAATAAAACTTAACGCCGTCGATGTCATTAATTAAATGCTATCGCTAACTTGCTTGAATCCTTCCGCCAATGTTGTCGGTAAATACTTCTTCTCCTCCAGTAATTCGTACATTTTCAGAAACATTGGGTCTTTTATACGCTATAAAATTCGGAACATCATAATTTGAATAAAAATATACTATTTTACTTCTAATAATTGTACAGTCGGTATAGTCTTTACGAACTTTCGCTAGAGAAAGTAGTACATATCTATAATGTACTCATATTATTATAAGAATGTAATAAAGTTTAAACACAAAAATATATTCTGTACAAATAAAAAATTAAGGGGAAAAAGATAAAGAGATCTTTAATGACCTTAATTTTAACGTATGTTGTCAACGTCCATGAACAATACTCAAAAAATTTTAGCCGTCGATCGTGATTTGTTAAAAAATTGATAAATGGTAAATTTCCTGCTTTTTATTGAATTCCGCAAGTGATTTCTTATTGACCTTGATGTTTCACATGGGTTTGCAACTTTTCACGCAAAATGAAACCCATTCCTTTGCCCCTACCCCCCCCCCTTCTGTTTACGGGACAAAAGATAATTGTACTCTTCGGTAATTGTACGCACGGTTTTCGACTTTCCACGCTAAGCGAGGTCCATTCCATTCCCTCTCCGCCCTCCGCTTATAAGACGAAACGGGATCTATAATTGTTCTGTTCATAAATTTTCGACTTTTCATGCAAATAATCGAAGCAATATCTTAAATCATTTAAATGTACATAATGTATTAAAAACTTACGTATTATTTATGAAAATTAATTTATTTTATTAATAATTTTTAATGATTCACGATCGATTGATGGCTGAAACAATTTGAATATTGTTCATAGCTTTAATAACACAAGGTCAAGAATCATTGAAGGTTGTTTTTCTTTTTTCCATTTTTATCAAATTAAATTCTCTAACATTTAAAATGATCAAATTTTCTAAAAAATTAATTACTAAGACTTATTTAGATGTAATGATATATCATGTAATGTTAAAGCTTTCCAAATGTTCTCGGTTACAATCACGAGATTGTTTTTATTCACGAGCGCTTCAATCAAAAATACTGCAACTGACTGGTGCTGTTATACGCAAAGTAATTTCTTAAATTTAAATATAAACTCACACTAGGAATATCGTACTCGGCGCTGTTTTTCAAAACGATTAATTTGTAAGTGCCGTCATTAACGTAATCCTCCAGAGTTGAAAAAGGCAGTTTAGGAAGATTGAGCATCAGGAAGCTCATCAACGAGGCGGAATAGATGGCCAGAATTACTATCGACGAGATGTAAATTGAGAAAAAAGCCACCCTCATCGGCAACTCTCTGGGAAATTCTATGCAACGTAAAAAATATATTGACATATTGTCCTATTCCGGTGCCAAATATATTGACATATTGTCCGACGTACTAATTGCGTAAAATATCACCACGAATAATATGAAAATATTGTATAAATAAAATATTAAATATCTTTATAACAAATATTACCTGACAGACCTTGCTGACAATAAATTCCCCAAACCTTAATATAGTTATCGGACATTAAGTTCCACGAGAAGTATCTATTTTTTGTCTTCTTCATAATAGTCAACAGCGTAGAAGTGATTATTATTACCACTACTAATGTCATCCAAATATCAAGGCCGAATACCTGTAATATTTATGGGTGGTCAACAAATAATTTATTTACTAGACTTTGTTATCGCAAATCTTCATCAATAAAAATTATTTTAGTACTATCTTTCTTTTTCATTTAAGAAAGATATAACATAAATAATCTTAAATAACATAAATAATCTTAAAAAATTAAAAACTTAAATAATTAAATTTTCAATTTTTTGAAGGTAAAGATTTTGTTATAGATAAAATATAATATTTTATTTTCTTGACAAAAAATAAATACAAAATCTTTGCTTTGTAAATCTTTTATCATTTTATAATTGTAGACTATATAATTAATATATGATATGGGTAACTAATATACAGGGTGTCTTAAAAAGGTCGGGACACCTAAATATCTCGGTAAATATAAGTTTTACAGAAAAGTGTTTTAAACAAAAGTTATATAGTTTAAAAATATCTATTTCCTGATCTTATCAGTTTGATCTTGAGTTGCGTAGCCAAGGTCAAGTCAAGGTTACATTGATTTTCTTAAATGGAACACCCTATTTTTGATTTAAGAATCTAATAGCTGAAGTCGAGAGCTTTCCAAATCACTACAATGAAATATTTTTTCATGAAGTACTTTTTAAGTTATAATGCTTCAAATTTACAGTATTGCCGGCACTAGCATTACCCAAAATATTTAATTTTGGAGACTGGCCAGTCAAGGCGAGATCGGTCGGTGGTCCATGAATGAGCAGAAAAGACATGTCAATCCGCCTGGGCAACCTCCGCGTGATATTACATATCTTGAATAATGCTAGTGCCGGCAATACTGTAACTTTAAAGCATTATAACTTGAAAAGTACTTCATGAAAAAATATTTCATTATAGTGTTTTGGAAAGCTCTCGACATCAGCTATTAGATTCCTGAATCAAAAATAGGGTGTTTCACTTAAGAAAATCAATGTAACCTTGACCTGACTTTGGCGACGCAACTCAAGATCAAACTGATAGGATCAGTAAATAGATATTTTTAAACCATATAACTTTTGTCTGAAACACTTTTCTGTAAAACTTATATTTCCCGAAATATTTAGGTGTCCCGACCTTTTTGGGATACCCTGTATATAAAAAGATCGCCGATACTGTCATACTTTTGTTTTCAAATTATATTTTTTAAACAAAAATTGAAAATAAAACTTTGCTAAATATAAACTAGATAGTCTTCTATCAGATAATGTACCAGCTTTTTATAATATTTTTTGGAATTTTACAATATTTAACATTTTCGTAAGATAAACAAAAATGAGCATCTGACAAAATGAGCCTCAAAATCTGCAAAAATAAGAAAAAGAAATAAAAATAAAATAATTTTAAAAAGGTAAAGACATGTTAAAAAATCTGATATTAACAATAAAGTATCTATAATAACATTTAAACTAAACAATTTGCAAAAGCAAATCGTAAGAGCGTTATTTTCACATTTGTAGAATTTTTGGTTTTAGTTAATTTTATATAAAAACAAGTCACACAAATATATGAATTATTTTTATCTCTTTAATCGTCTAAACTGATCATGTCTTTATGTCAGTATTAATAAAATGCAATAATTTCCAAGAAATAAATGGATGTCTCTTTACAAGATCTATGTCAGTATGATGACTTTCGGGCCTCTATTAATTAATAAACATCATTAATATAAAGATAATTTATTATTACCTTTAAGTATAAATTCCATTGCACAGTGGCCTCTTCAGGTTCCTTAAAATAAAGGCGATATCGCGAGCGTATCAATGGTACTGTAAAGTCGATGATGTTCCGTCTGCGAGTCGTCATCGTGAATGCGGAGACACCGATGTCAGCTTTATTAGTCACCAACTGGCCGATCGCACCTGTCCACATCTTCTGCTGGTGGCTCCAGCCACCGAATCCCTCCTCTGGATCTAGAATCTCCACCGAGAAGTTCATAGCTTTAATGAGCTCTGTCAACACCAGACCCAAAAACCCGCCGAGCGTACCGTTCTCCAGCGATACTAGCTGCGAGTTCTGCAATGTATCAACAGAATTATCAAGTCACTCTAGTCTACGAGACCATCATTAAATTCTAATATCGATTCCATGGCAAATTAGAATATCAATTTCGATTTTCTTTCAAAGTGACTACTTTCTACGAGAAAGGGTCGTCGCTCATGATATCACTAATCGCAACCGTTAGTGCGGCGCACGACAAAGTTCGTCAAAGATGAAAACTTACTTCAACAAAAACCACACGTACAACTTCGCCGAACATGTCGCTCCTCCTGGCGTAGAGATTCTTTCGCGTCTTCAAGATCAGACCACTATCGGGGGACCACGTGGCCAGATCGAACGTTCTGGTGCAATTATCGCGTATGGCGTACCACTCGACCAGAGTCGGGCGATCGTAGCACAGGACCAGCATCTCGGTGCGGACGTCCACATTGAATACGTTATCAGTAGGATGCCAACAATGCTCCTCAAGAGAATTCCCAGGACGTTGAAGAAACACGATGAACCAGACGGGGAAGGAAATGGGCTTTATGACCCTCGTGGTTTTGGCGAACTCGTCCATGGTCTCCCCGGTGTCAAGGAGAATGACGAACAAGGGCCGTGTGACATTTTCCTGGTACTCATTGTACTTGCTCGTCAGATCCGAGAAAGTTGTGGTCATGGTCATGACGTGCTGTCGTGAAAATTCGCGAGACCACATGTGCACCAACGTCGTCGTGTGCAAATCTGTGATATTCGCATTTAACGATGGTATTACATTTCATTTAATGTCAGCATTAGATATATTCTCTAGATCGTGAAATGAAGATATTTAATTTTTCTACGGATAAATTTTTAATTTTTTGTTTTTGCATCCACAACAATGAAATAAAGAAAAAAAGTATTTAAACTGACGCGAATTTAACTTATTTATTTGGCAGCAACATTAAAATTTAAAGAAACTAAACGTACACACATATCTCTGAAATAAAAAATAATTAATTGGTATCTATTATAAAACTTTTTTCGTTATGTAAACCCTTAAAAGCGCGTAATTATTTATTTTTTAATTAAATGAGGTTGAGTTATAACGTATTATTGATAATAATTTAATTTAAATTAACTATTTTAGCGTTATATAGCATAATAAAACTGAAATGATTTGCACGCGAAATTGTTGTTTAATAATAGTTCGACAGTTCGAGGAAACTTTCTTTTCGCCAATTAGCCGGAAGTGCAGTATGAGAAACGATAGCCGGAAAATGTTTCCGCTACTTACCGCAATTGCCAGACCGCACGAAAATAATGCACGACGTGTGATAATATCTGTGAACGTCGTTAATCAATCGGGAGTAATTGTTGATGCCTATTCCCTCTGACAGCGGCTTGGTGTCCAACACGAGGAAAAGCATCGCGATCAATCGCGCTAATGTATACTTCATAATTTCGCAAAACGCAGATTTGAAAACGATTACTCGAATAAAACGGTTACTGGTTAAAAAGATAAAAATCGTCCAATTAGGAAATTATAACGAAACAGTTAATGATTAATTTGGAGCGAGAAATTATGAAGAAGATAGCACGACGAAATTAGTATCCTAATTCCGAAGTCCTACTGAAGACAGCAATGCTTCGCGGAATCTTTCGAATCCGTCGAAAGCATGACTATTGTTGAGCCGAGAATTAAGGAGAAAAATGACGGTACCCGCGATTCAAGGATGCAACCGTGACTGAAGGGCGATCATCGCAAAGGGGGATTTATCGGTTCCGAGAATCTCTGGGGGGTGAGAGCGAAAGAATGTCACCGGGTGATGTGGATGTACGGCATTATTACAAATTACATGGAGATACGAGACGATTTTTATCAACGAATCATCGGCAAAATATCACATCGATAAATTATTCACGATCGTTAAACCGCCTGTGCAATCAGCATTACTTTATATTATATTTATATCCGCCAATCACCCACGATGCAATTTCAGGTATATGTCATTTAGGTGTCTTAGCTTTCACAGCTTGATGCATAAAGTGCGATGCAAATTTAAGTATGTCTCGCAAAAGGAACGTTAGGAGGAAAAGAAATCATCGTGATATCGACAATTTGATCATTTAATTCATTATAATGAATGATTTAAACGATTGTCAATAAAAATTGAACAAGTATTAACAGGAATACTAATAGAGTAAGAAACTTTAGGAAATTTTATTTTCTTCTCCCGGTAGAAAGATGTCGGTTAACTCTTATTTTATTTTAATGTTTTCACGTCGCAAACATATTTCGACATATACATAATAGTTTCTACATAAATAATTATCTACATTACAATTAATCATTAGACTTAAAATTAAAAATTATTAATATTAAAATCTGAATATATTACAATAAATATACTATTAAAAAAAAACTACACGTAGAATAAAAGAAAAATTTTATATAACAATTAAGTGTGGCAAATTTACAAGCACACACACATACATACACACACGAATTAAAAATTTTTAGTAATAGAGGATAAAGAAGTTTTCTGAATAAAAAATATTTGTTAATTCATAGTAAATTGAATTAAGTTTTATCTGAATTATAGTGGTTCTTGATAAATAACATTTTAGCAGGATAAAAAGTTCTGGATTGGAATTTCCTTCTCCTCAACCGATAATAAATTTTCTCTATAATCAGTATCGCGATGCTTATAATAAAACCTCCACAGAGAATCGCCAAAATTGGGACGACGCTAACCATGCGGACCGGCTTGTAAACCTTGTTTTCGGTCAACTGCGGCAAAAATCTCGTGTCCCTCAGACGCGTCATTATACCGTTGTCCAGAAATTTCTGCAAACTGGTTCACATGCGAGAGTTTTAATAAAAAAAAAAAGTTAGATTCAAAGAGGAATCATTTTTCACGATTACCCACTGATAATTTATTAAACTCGTGTAGGGACTATTCTTCGATAGAATCAGTCCTAAGTTGTCTATCCTCTCGGTGCTGATGCTCGACAGTTTGCAGGGTATCTTTATTTCTACGCTTTTCTTCAAAGCGCTCAGCACCATGTAAGCAACCCTTTTCTCCTTGCACACCTGAACAAGTAGCAAGTAACCGATGTAAAAAATTTCAAGCAAGGATACTCTGAAGTAATCATACTAATTAGAAGAAGGAAGTAATTTTATGTTTTTAAATAAAAGTTTGGCCATATAAAAATGCCGTTAAAATTGATTTCGCATTGCATTCGTCGCGCCCAAAAATACGGATTATCGGTCATACCTGTACAAAGCCATCGATCAGATCCCTCGGTAATCTATATTCGTCCTTCATTATTTTCATCAGACTTGCTGAGAAGGCAGAAGCCTGTGTCGACGCATTGTTCTTCGCCTGATGCTGCCACGAAAAATTGTTTTGTGATGTATAGGTAAATCATTTAGCGCTCCATTACACTTTAAATCAATGTTAACGATACACCACAATGGACATTAAATGTGACCGTAATTGTATGTATTATCGAATGCAACGATATGACATAACTTCGATCGCACGAAAAACGTGCGAGCTGAAAATAAAAGTTGGGCTCCTTGATCGCTGGGTGAACTTACGGAGATTACGTCGTAGTCGGCACTGCCACGTGGAACGATCAATTTGTAAGTACCGTCCTCGATGAATTCGTCTAGCGTTTGGAAAGGCAAAACGCGAGTGCACGACGTCAGGAAACCAACCAGCGCCGCTGAATAGTGAGCCGCTATCAGCACAGCCGTCAGAAATATCGTGAAGTACGCCACGCGCAGCGACGAACTTTTCGGAAACTCTGGAGGAAAAAATTCAATCACTGCAGCCCCAATCAACTTTTTAAAAAGAAGAAAATAGAATTCAACTTCTGACTTAATTCTTAATTTGATTAAACCATTTACTATTTCATTCTCTTTCAAAAAAGCAATGCGGTCGTGAGTTCTCTTTCAGTTCTCTTTCAGAAGAGCAATGCCTACTTTACACATATTTTATATAGCCGAATGTTCAATTAGAATTGCTTCGGAAATAGATGTAAAATTTATACCTATAAGCGCTTGCTGACAGAAGATACCCCAAATGCTGATGAAATTCTCGATCAGATCCACGGCGTTTCGTGATTCGCAAATTGTCTTCATGAAGGCTAAGAGGAGCGGCGCAATCGCTATCAGCGTGACAATCGTACCCCACGTACGCGAATTGAATGTCTGTCATGATTGTATTGCATTGTTAAAAAATTAGTTCCACAGTTTAAAATCAAGTCAAAGCTACTCGTTTTAAAAGAAATTATTTGATACGTTTTCATATAATTTGCCAAAATCGCATTATTTTAAAATACATTTTATACATTCAAATTTAAGTTTATATAATAAAAATCAAACAAAGTTCAAGGAAATCTAATGAGCCAGCTAATTGCTTTATATCTTTTATAAATTAATTGAAAAGATAATATATTATTCCTAAAGTCATATTAAAAACAGACCGAACAATTTCAAGCAATAATACAATTATCCTCAAAATAAAACTAAATAAATGTTAACACACATATTTCAAATCAATGTACGCAAATTTCATTGAAGTATCATTGCTATCCAAGTTTCAAACTTTTTTGATTTTATACCAGATATAGTATATAAGATCCAGTCATCCAAGATTTAAAAAGTGGATACATTGTAAAAGAAAGGGAGGCAAGATAACGACTTCAAGATTTGTTAATTTTTCTTAATTTCTATGATAAAATAAAAATAATACCTTTTTTTTTAGATTCACTAACGCCTTGTATCTATAAAAACTATAGAAACTATTAAATAAATTAGAATTTTTTAAATTTATATTTTTTAAGAAAGTGTTTTCATCATTTTGTATCCATATACAGATAAGATGACTTTAAATACAAAAAGTCAAGGTTAATTAAAAATATACTTTTTTACAAATAAAATAATTTATTTTATTGTAATAAACTTTATTTTAGTATTATAATATTTTAATATAATAAAAGAAAAATAGGAAACAAAAAAATCAACAAATTAACAAGATTTATTTAACCAATATTAAAGAATTAATTTTACGCAGTTATGTTTATAAAATACAATTAACAAATATAATCGGCATATTATACTAGTTATATTATAATATTTCTCATTGTATTATCTACTTTCTTGGACAGATTAAAATAAAGAGATTATAACCATCATTATCTCAAGCCTTTAATGAGTTATGCATCGACTCAACATTTATCAACTTAGCAATAAGAGCAATTCGTCATTTTACTCCCGGCCGTTTCCCTCTATATCAGAAAAAAATTTATTTTTTCTTTTGGAAAAGTCTGAAATAATGCCATGAATTGTATGGTGTTGAAATGGTAAAAATCTATGGACACTTGTGTATGTTATATATGGAAGAAACTTAATTAATGATATATTACTTTTTTAATCTTAGACAACTACATCTTATAATTGCAATAAAATAAAAAAAAGTTTGGTACTTAGACAACAACGCGAGATATAATTAGTCTTTTTATAACGTAGTGTAAAAGACATGATTTAAACAATATATCGATCTCGTATCTATTAATATACGAGAATTTTTTTGTCCATTTTCACTCATTATTCGCTTATTTATCTCATAGTTTTCACATTAGACGTTGTTTATACACAAATGATAAGAAAAAAATTGATGAAGTACAATTTAAGTGACCGGTACGACATTAGGCAACTCTCACCTATTATTTTCGTGGCAGCAATAAGGCGATAAGGCTAACCCCATAATTTTTACGTTAATCAATCATATTACCTGGAAATAGCCGAGCCACTTGACGCCACATATTGCCGGCTCCTTGATATATAGACTGTTTCTAGATATGATCAAGGGCAGCGTGAAATCGACATGGCGCACTCGCAAGCTCGTCATCGACATATCAGCGATAGCAAAATCCGCGCGATTCGATGCGATCTCGCCCATCACTCCAGACCAAGTGTTTGTGTTCGAGTTCCACAGGCCATGCTCATCCATTTCCGAGACGATCTTCAGGGTAAAGTTAAGCGAATACGTGAGCTCCTCCAACACTTTCCCGTACATACTAGCCACGTAATTCCCAGCAAACGTCGACGAAAGCGATAAATCCTGAAGTTGCTTAACACCGATTAATTAAATAGAAGAACATTTAACAATTATTAATTCTATCGTAAGAGCTGCAGAATTATAGAAACATAGTATATGTATAAGTTTTACAATTAATTAATGACATTCTATTAGAAATTATTATATATATTATATTAGAAACGTTTGACGTTTAAATTTAATATTTTTACTAAATTTGATAAAAAATGGATATAATGATATTTGTCATCTTCAAAAAAATTGTATATAAAATGTCACACAATATATATAGGGTGTTCCTTAAATCGAGGTCAATCATTCAGGAGTTGATTGATGATGATTAATCCTAAAATAAGAAAGAAAATTGATATGAACATAAATCCGAAAATGCATTGTTTTCGAATTTTCACTATTTAACATCGAAATTTGAAATTGCTTTACTTTCGAATTTTTCTGTCGAAATTGAAAGAAAAGTTAGTCTTCATGAGTTTTATAACATAATTAAAGTTAAATAAAAGTTACGGATTACTCTACGTACGTAGCACCACGTAGCAGAACGCATCATGTGGAACTCGTTTAGCGTAATGACGATAACTCGAAAACAACCTATTTTTTTAGATCTACGTTCATATCAACTTTCTTGTTTTTTAATAGTCATTCCGAATAATTCACTTCGACTTACGGAACGCCCTGTAATCTCACCTCGACTGACGGAACGCTTTTTTAATATCATTTAATTTGAAAAGAGATATTTAATTTAAGCATCACGTATTTCTATATATCATTCAATATATCATTAATTAATTACAAAAACGCGTGCATGCTGTTCGTATATATTTTATTTCTATAGAAGCAAAGATATATTGTCAAGTAATAAACGACGGATTTTTGTTATGAGCTGTGCTACTAAGAATAACATATATAGAAAAAAAGCTGTCTATTCTTCTATCGAGCACCTTGACCGTGACCGCTCGTAAAACGATTCCCTCCATATCTTTCCGCCGATCGTAGAGGGACAGATTCGTCAGCAAAATGAATCCCTCGTCGCCTCCCCACACCGCCAGGTCGAAGATTTTGACGGTGTCGCCCTTGACGGAATACCATTCCCGCAGGATCGCCTCGTTGTGGCACAACACCAGCATCTGCGTGTCGAACGCCAGATTGAAGGGATTACCGATCGGCTCGCGGCAATGGTCGTGAGTGCTGTTGTCGGGGGTGTAGAGAAACAGCACGAACCACACTGGATAGGACATCGGATAGAACTTGGTGGCCTCCGCGAACTCCAGATACGCCTCGTAATTGGGTAAAATGACGATGCTGATGGGCTGGACTATTTGGCGGTAGTACCTCAGCGAATTATTAAGCCTTCTGAAGTGCACGTTCGAGGTCTTCACGAAGCGCTGGCTCAGCAAGCGGGAACTCGCGTGTATCAGATGCGTGATTTTCAAATCTACAGCGAGAGGATTTTGCAAAAATGAGAGGATCGGTTTAACAAGCTCGAATATACCTATGTAAAATTCTGAGAAATCTTCGAGTTTTTAAGAAGAAAAAAATTTCAGTAATTATGTACTGCATAGCCTTGAGTATCCAAGAGAAAAAAGTTCCAGTAATTATGTACTACATAGCCAGCCTTGATGATCTTGACTTTGACATGCCCTGTTAAGGTTACGAGTGGCCTTCAGAAGGTTTTTCTAGACCTCAGCGGAGGTTTATAATTGGATTATTTCACATATATAGGTCTTCGACTTTACACGCGAAACGAGGTCCACCCTACTCCCACTGCTTACGAGAAGAAACGCGGTCTATAATTACGGTTTTTTTTTTAATAATGAGAAAAATGTATCCTATTTGTAATAATATTGAAACAATATATAGTGAGACTTTTTTTGTCAATAACTTTTTAACGAACAATCATGACCTTGTCAAAGTCAAAATTATCGGGGCTGGTTCCTCTATAGTGCATAATTACAAAATTTCTAATAATAATAATAATAATTTCTAATTTGTTTATGTTTATGTTTATTTGTTTTAGTGCTTCCGTGATGCATGCTGTCTTCCCCTACTATTTCTATCTTCACGATTTTATAAATTTCTGATAGAAAGGGAAGGGAGGAACAATCAAAAAATACTTCAAAGCGGAATCGTGCAGGAGTGATTGCTATTACTCGCAAATCGCGATGTAGTCGGCGTCGCAACGTTTATTGACTAAACATTAGTTCAGTTAAAGTAACACATTGACTGTCAGGCTGACTGACGCTGTCAAAATCTTCTTAAATGCTTGTGAAAAAGAGAAATATCATTTAAAATATAAAATTTTTAATAATATAAACAGCTAAATAACAATGAAAAATAAAATTGCGGTTTAATACAGTCCTATGGGGATACGGTTTTATTTAATCATATTATATATGACATTTCATCATTATATGCTTATGATAATAAGAAATGACAGGCAACGTGTTCACATATTGAAATACGAAAAGAATGATATATTAATTAACAGCTTTAGATCTAATTCAAAATAATCTTTTTAATCCAATTGCTGCAGTATTAATGAAACAAATATACTTGTTTTATTAATACAAGAGCATGACATATTGATTTGATATATGATCTCGATTGTCTCCAATTTATTTCCATTTAAATTAATGCTGTTAATATATCACACTTTTCTCTGTGCATAAGAGTGCATAACCAAGCAACAAGAATACTATGTCGTTTTGGAAGAAAGACTTCAAACTGACCCCCATATTCCCCGTACTTGTCTCCAGGGTGGGTGAATATGACGGACACGGCGCAGTAAAATTTTCGTACGGCCAGTATCACGTCGACGAAGACGTCGACGTGATAGCGAATCCCTGCCGAAGTGCTGAAGAGAACGAAAAGGAGTATCGGACACGCCGAACGGATCGGTAATCTCATTTCGTCGCCGTTGAAGGAGGCTCGGCCGAGGTGTTTAGAACGCGATAAACCGGGAAGACCAACTAAACGGCTAAAATTCCCGTCGAGTATAACGCGGGGTAAAAAACATGCAGGGACGTAGATGGCTTATCGGAGGTAAATATTAAGCGTTTATCGAGCGCCTCAGATAACGTAATTGGGGTGTTCCGCCACGTGGAGAAATAATTGCGATCAATCAAACGAGATATCCTGTATAATCGCTTCCTTCCTTCCTTCCTTCTTTTCTGCTAATTCTAAATTAAAAACGATTTCCTCTTGAGAATATTCATATCGAATAATTAATACTGCAATGTAAGACGCAAGATCTAGAAATAGGCGCCGTGTTAATTAAGCGTGACCTTCTCCAGGCTATCAATATCACAGTGAATAAAAAGTCTGTTCATTAAGTATTCTAAAGGTATTAATATCAAAACAATGAATATGCCCAGAGATATTCAGGTAAGCGCGATTAATTCTTAGATTAGATTTGCACTGACAATGAGTCACACACGTGGCGACATAAAAAAAAGTGAATGTAACCGCAATGCGAGACTATTGCTACGCTAAACATGTCGTTGACTTAACGCCAATCAGCGACGAATATTTAAAATATTGACGTTCGTATCCGACCCTGGACACGTCCATACGGAAAGTGCACGTTTAAATTTATAATGCGACATCACAGGTGTATATTCCGCACGATATACACCGGCCGATATCAGCACCATTAGAAAATTGCAATCAGAAACGATCGGCAGATCACATCTCAAATATGGTATATGCATTTGTTAGAATGAACTTTATCAAGTACTCGAGTACGGTTAATGGACAGCACCAATTTATTTTCCTTTATTTTTCCTGAAAATCGCAAAATCATTTTTGCCAACTAGAAATTGATTTATAATCTATGTTATATAGTGTATATATTATTATATGTATATTTTGTATATAATTTGTGTACAATTTATTTTCTCAGAAGAAATTGGATTAGAAATTATTATTATATACAAAATAATATACATAAAATAGTAAAAAAAAGTATATATTTAAAATCTATATTATACAGAAAAATCGAGACATAGGTCTCCTAAAGAGCCTTCTTTTTTGGAAATAAATGTTTCATTTTATTAATATTGATAAAAACATTATATGTTTATATTATTAAAGAGACAAAAACTCATAATTCATATATTTGTAACTTGTTTTTATATATAAAAGCAGCTAAAAGCAAACTTCATAAGTGCGAAACACTATTATTTTACAAGTTTGCAGTTTTCTAAAACTGTTTTATTTATAATATTTTTTTTATATTTTTTATATCTTTTTTTTTACTTCTGCCGGTTTAGGGATTTTGTCAGACACCCATTTTTGCATATCTTACGAAAATGTTAAACATTGCAAAGTTTTACACAGTAATTAAAAAAAACTGTATTATTTGATAAAAGACACTTTCTAGCTTGTATTTATATTTTCAAAATTTTATCTTAGCTTTTATTTAAAAAATAAAATCCAAAAATAAAGCAATATATTATATGACGGAATCGGCGATCTTTCTTTATATATTATACAAAATTTAATTTTCTTTGTATGTATATTATACAAAATTTAAATACAATATTAATATAATAGATTGTAATATAACCGTCTTTAATTAAATAATTCAATCTAGCCTCACACAATTTCAAATTCTGAAAAATAAATAGAAAAACAAATTAGATAGTCAAATAAATTACAGCAGCAGCCTCATTATCGTGAACTGCTAACAATTGTTATCTTTAGGTTACAATTAATTATAAAAACGTCCAAAAAAAATACAGAGAGGGCGACAGCATGCTGATAATGTGTTTATACACATCTGTCATATCTGATGTTTCTACAACTGCTTTCTAGACTGCGCTGGATTACTTTCGAAGTTTATGTATGTGACATGATTCATCAATCAATACATGACCGCCGCGGAGAGAGCTGGCCATCAAATTCGCCCAGTAATCATGGCACCAATAAATGATTCAGCGACTATCAGGCGAACAATCGGCTTCGTTAATGATTTTACAATATTGTAAATTTGCTAATTTATGACCGATATTAATACAAGGGACTGTTAACATCGAGATTATTCGATCTTTTATTAACGTTGGCGTTTTTTAATTTTTCCTACCTCTTAAAGTTACAAAGCTGACTTCTCTGATATTTGTAAATTAATTGTAAATTAATCTTAGCCATATGAGAATGTTTTATATAATTTATTATCTTCAAATTAATCACGATTAATTAATTACTTAATCATAATTATATTTTTTTCTAGATTCTGTATTCTAAGTCGACAACTCTCGATATTGCATTATATTTTCGTTTCACGCGTTGCTTTCGCGAGATATTTGAAAAATGCAAGTTTATTTTGAATTTTTCGCCGACGACACAATTCGTCCACGCGCATACTCGTATTGCGGATACTGACAAAGTTCTTAGTCACGGCGCATTTATTTTTAATTATAAGAAATAATACGGTTTTTCGTCTTATCGCCACCTCGCTCGCCGTGTTCACAATATAACGCAGAATGTAAGCGAAAGTTATATAAACGCATGACGGCGAACATCGTCCGCGTGCGCGCATAGACGAAGCTGGACGGAGCTAGAAAACTCTCGATCGTGATCGAATTACGCGCTGTCACGTACCGCAACGCAACGACGCCACACGTTATCAATGGGTCCTCTTGAGTCCTAAACTGACCATGTGTTTGGGACCGTACCCTAATAAAACCCAGCCGTAAACATAAGTGCTCTCAGGATTTTTCCTGGCTCAGTTATCTTAACACGCCTAATCTTTCCTAATCTTCGCTTAATATTTTTGTGTCAACTGTATACTCTACAGAATGCTCCACCTGCAAAACTCGAAACGAAGGTCTTTCTTGACCGAAAACAGACAGTTCTGAGTCGTCTCTCGAAAACTCCTTGCCTTTTTGTATCCTCAGAATAGCCTCTTCAAAATAAAATACATTATATGTGAACGGTTGTCGATTTACTTTGATATTCAACTTCGATATTACGTGGCTTCGGCTCGTAACAGCGCGCGTCATGATCGTCGCGAATGAATGCGCACTTTTCCTCGTTACTACTTTCCAGACGCTTCTAGACTGTACTATCTGACGCAATACTTTTTAGGCCATTCATCTGTACCTCCTGCGATTGAGTTCACGGTGAAAAACGTACATGGAATATGAAATAGTATAACACATAATAAAATAAGAAATATGATAAAAATAAATTGGATATTGGAAACCGTTAATCCAGTAATCCATAGAGATCATTCAAAAACGAATATAGATTAGAATAAGAAATAAAGGAGAGAAACTAAATTATAATAAAGAACTGTATATGTATCTGATGGTATTATAATTATATTTAATTTAGCGTCTTATTTTTTTAATAATTCTCACTGTTTAATATTTCCTAGTATAATTTTTTTGTAGATATTTCTAATCAGAGAAAAAACATATCTTTTAGAATTTTAACATTTTCTTTCATTACACAATAATTTTTAATGCAAAATCAAGGATTTTCGAGAATCATCAAATAATAAATAATTAATAAATAAAGCGTAAATCTCCAACAATTTTCGTCAGGATTGAATCGATTCAAATATCCTAGGAAAAATTTTGTGGGATATTGCCAAATGGGAAACAATAATTAATGCCAAAGCCAAAATCTACTCTCAGCTGGTTGGTCTCTAATGTGAACCAAATTTGAAAAATATATTCTGCGGTCAGATATATTGACAATTAACTAAGAGCAGATATGACAATGCAATGACGTACACAACAAACTCAGGGCAGATTCGATATGTTCTCGATTATACGAGCCATCTACATTGTTGCATATTTGCTGATACTATTTACAATAGCAAAACTTGACATTCGCCATCAATCTGCCATCAATATTATGTTCAATATCTGGCTTACTGCCAGATGCAATTAAACTGCCACTGTCATATATATTTTGTCGACAAAAATTGCCTATTGACGAAAATGTACTAACAGAATTGGCGATAACTAAAGCAGATATCAAATGCTATGTTTCCCATTTGCTTTCGGCAAACATATAATTTGTTGCTAACATTTGCAATTGCAGAAAATGTCAATCTTTTTACATATCCTTGAATCATGAGAAAAGTTTCTGCAAAACTTAATTAATTGTCTTAAACAATAATTCAGTGAAACGCTCAATCTTAATACTTCAGCTAGTTTAACCTAAAGAAAAAAAAACATGCTGAAGTCATTATATGCTCTATGATGCAACTGTGTAGCGCAACGAGCGCAACGAAACGAAACGTCTGTCGTGAATCATCGAGTACGTACAGCGCAATCACGTGGTTGCCATCTGTCAAAATAGGCAGACTCACTCAGAAATGGCGGCGGCGTAGACTTATTTCCGCTTTACGAATTCGTCCGGCGAGAGAGATCCTTTTCGCGTCATGAAATCATTGAATTCTCGCGCGACACCCCTTCCGACCCTTCCGACGTGTTCGAATCCGGTCGCGAGATCGCGGAAAAGGAATCTGGAACGGGAGGATCCGACGTGACATAACGGCGGAAGAATCGAGAAATGTCGAGAATAGCGCGCGCGGCGCCTGATTCGCCCGCAATTCGCCGGAAAGGCGCTCGCGGCTGGTGATCGCGGCGTCTGGACGGCTTGCGGCGGCGTGACGAACGCTCAGGTGGATTTATCGATTGCGTATATAAAAGCGAACGGCCGAGACCGTTTTCCCAATAGACGACGTGCGACTCTCGACGGTCTTTGTACACATCGGTCGGGGAAGAGAGTGAGTTCGGAAAAAAAAAAAAATACACGATACATCGATACGGGCGTTTTCTCGCCAGACCGGAACGTTCTCGCTTCAATTTCGACGACGGTTCGCGCAACTGAAGCGACGATGGCCAAGCTGAGCCTGAAGGTGTACCTGATGATGCCGGATCTGGATACGTACAGGGAAGTGCGCAGATTCGGCATCGACGCCGACGTCGCGTCGAATTTCCTATACCTGCGCGAGAAGCTGCAGACCATCTTCCCGGATCTGCGGGGCAAGATCTTCAACGTCACCTGGAAAGGTGAGAGTTCTTTGTGTTCCTTTCCCCGTTTCTTTTTTTCCTTCGCGCTTTTTCCGCGGAGAAACTACTGGACGGCGGAGTCGGACGCTGACGTCAGCGATCGACGTTGTTTATCAAAGGTCTCCTACATACATTAGGCTCTTGTGCGTTTTGATAAGCAGCTAGTAGCATATATATAGTTAATGCATTCAGCAGAAACAGGTCGAATTCCTTAAGTACTCAACTTTTTCCGTGTACATTCGTTTTTTTTTTTTTCTTTGTACAGTCGTGGACACATCGGTTGCGACACTTTTTTTTACAGGTTTTTAATATATATTTAATATACATAATATATACTTTATAGATAACTAATATTTTGCAAATGCGAACCACGATGTACTATCTTTAGTCTAGAGACAGTGTAACACTAATCGTGGTCCGTATTTGCAAAATATTAGTGCGTTTTGAAACCTATAAAAAAGAAAGTGTCGCAATCGATGTGTTCATGACTGTACATACATACTATCTTGAAGACAAAGGTATCTACGTATGTGCTTTTTTATCATTACTTCCATTAGGATGGAAACAGTTTAATTATTCGAGAAGCAAAAATTGTTACAGCTGTATAAATGTATAATGGTAAATTGTTCAATTTTTAATCCAATTTGAATAAATATTCCGAAATTTAAGATAGAACATATCGCGGCATTGCTGCAATAGTGTCATATCTCGAAGTGACAATTTTGAGTTATTCATTGGAAAAGATGGATTTTGGCGACTTTTATCTGGTGATGAATAACTCAAAATTGTCGATTTTCGAGATGTGACACTATTGCAGCGATGCCGCGGTATATCTCCTCTCGTTTTCTATTTGCGTGAATTGAGCGCAAAAAGCATCCAGTGTGACAATCACGGTTATTTAAACGCTTGTCTCTTATACTAACAGATGATGAAGATGAGAATATCACTATATCCACCAATGAGGAATTGGAGATCTCATTGGACGAGATGGGCAAGAAAAACATCTACAAGATGTACGTCTGGCTCCAGCCGGAGCAAGATGGGATAGACATGTCAAAGATAGAGAAGACAATCCACCCCGGCGTGATGTGCGATGTGTGCGACAAGAATATACATGGCTTTCGCTTCAAGTGCATGCAATGTCGAGATTACGACTTGTGCACAGACTGCATGACACTCGGCAATCATCTGGAGCACTACATGATCCGTATGACGCAACCGGTCGAATGGTCGAGCTACCACGGCCACCGGCTCGCTCACCACGTGCGCAAATTCATTCAGAAGGCGCAGCACCACAAGGAGGACGAGCGCAGGTGCCCCAAGGGGTCGCACAAGGGGCTGCACAAGCGTAGCGGCTGTCCGGCGTTCAACGCAGCTGAATTCGGTAAATCTGGCCGCCTTTTTGACCCGTCTGTTGTAGACGTACTGGAGAATTTCATAATAGACATTTGTGCCGGTCCGGCAGACGAGAGGCAGGAGAAGAAGCGGGCCAAGGAGCAGCACCGGGAACCGTCCGCCGAGTCCGCGACCGAGGCGACGGAGGACGCGCAGCAGGAAGCGACCAGGCACTCCTTCTCGCAGCTGCTGAAGATCGTCGAGGACAACATCTCCAACATCTCGCAGTTCCTGGATCCGCTCGGCATCAACGTCACCGTGATGGCCGATAGCAACGACACCGCCAAGAGCAAGCCCGCGGAGAACGGCGCCCAGACGAGGACCGGCGCGCAGAAGCCCGCAGAGGCCCATGCCTCTACGGAGGACTCCGCCAAGAAGTTCCCCGGTGAGGGTAAAAAACTGCGCGACGATCCTGTAAGTACTGCAACTGTACCTTCGATGGATAACGCACAAAAAGATTCAGCAGCAGCCGCGCCGGTGGCAGCTACAGCCGCAGCCTCAACATCAGCAGCAGCAGCAACTTCCGCTGAACAAGCAGCCGAAGCCGAGGAATGGACGATGATACAACGTGAAAGCTCGGTCAGCCCCACATCCTCCTTGTCCTCCTTGAACGGAGCTATACCCAAGCAGGTACGTCCCGCATAAATTCAAGAATCAATAGTAGATAACTAGAACATGCAGAATTACTGAAATGCAATTAAAAGTTATAATGATATTTAAAATACAGTCGAGCCTCGATAATTCGAATCTCAAGGGAACAGCTATAAAAATCTTCAAGTTGTAAAGATTTCGCCTTATCGAAATTCGAGTAAAAGAGTTTTAACGTATGAAAATTACGGAAGCTTTGCACGAGAGTTTATAATGGGTTTTAAAGTAAAAAAAAATTCGAAGTTTTTCGAGTCGGTTTTCGAGTTATATGGAGACGAGTTATCGAGGTTCGACTGCATATATAAATGTTACTTCCTAGACAATTGCGCAATATTAGATAATCGGGATGTAATTAAGAAATATTAATTACATTAATGGCTGCGTCTCATAAATCCCCGCGAATCCTCTTTATTGCGCGTGTGCACGTATCACGTGTTCAGAATATCTCATTTTACAGGTTGCCTCCCCATCCGCGCCCCCAGCACCCGCAGCAGAGCCCGAAAAAACTCCGTCAAACCAGAGACTCTACCCACCCTTACCTGAAGAAGTGAGACCGGAGAATCTAAACCCCAAGATCCAGCGCGCCGTAGACGCGATGATGGCAATGGGATTCACCAACGAAGGCGCGTGGCTCACCCATCTGTTAATTGCGCAAAATGGTGACATCGACAAGGCGCTGGATGTGATACATCCGGTACGCCGTCATTAAGAGGGACGGAGCTAAAACTTTAGTTAACGATAGTTTAATGGTATATGGTAATAAACGGCAAAAATTAAACAGTTAACATAGTCTGAACTTGAGTTAAATGATAGTTGGTAATTACGATAGTTTGTAATTATTCGTTATTATTCGTCATACGACGTCTTTTTATGTTACTGGATTTATTTGGTATATATTATATTTTTCTTTTTTTTTTATAATTTGAACAGCACACAACGTTGAATTTATCCCTAAAGAATTATATCTCAATATCTCAATCTTTCTATCTGTTGCTAAATTTATGTTGTGCACACGTACTAAGGTATTTTTAAAAAATGTATTCCAATGTTTGCTTCTAGTGTAATATATGTTATATTTACGTTATGCTACATTCTTAGCATTATAATATTAATGTCAAAGACACTAAAATATTATTATTGGTGACCGGATTATGTATTGTTGTATCTTATTTTAATAAAGTAACCATGAGATATCTGAAGGATAAATGTTTCTCTTTTAATAACATAAAAAGCTCCTTAATAGAAAAAATATATTCAAGTTCTGTGATTAGGAGTGACGTTTGTAAAAATTGAAAGAAAGCTAAAAACTTCAAAAAGTTTATTATAAATACCTCTGTTCTATTTCTTCTATAAGAATTTACATCGGTCCATTAAGACCAGCGGATTTTTATTAGTAATTAATTCTAATTCTCTCTGACCGTCGGGTGTTATGTTTCTGATCCACTTGCGATCCTTATAATATTCTATCATACTGTCGAATTCCGCGTTATTGAAGTCTTCAACTAAAACAGGCAGGAAGGGATCCAGATGCTCGAAGCCTTCTTTGCCTAGCAAATATCTGGGCAGATGGGATTCCCGTCTTTCCTGAAAATAAAAGATTTTCCCTCTGCATTATTATACACCCACGTTTAATGCTAAAGTTTTTTACATATATATATATATATATATA